TTTTTTTTTTTTTTTTTTTTTTTTTTTTTTTTTTTTTTTTTTTTTTTTTTTTTTTTTTTTATACCTGAATCCAGTTTCCCTTAAGAACCCAACATTGGTTCTCTCATAGTCCTGGGATCTGAACTTAGAACCTTCTGGTGAGCGTAAGAGCTCAAAACAAAGTGCACCCTGGATTCTAAACAAACACACAACAAGATAAATATCAAATACTGTCTATTATTTGTTTTTATGAACCAAAAATAATGCACTTCTCTCTTTTTTTTTTTTGTACTGCTATTAAAAATTAGTGTCCTCGTGACATAATAAGAAAAAGTGCTGCGCTCACGACAGAAAGATCTGCCTGACAGGACGCATTGGGCATATCACGAATTAGTCAAGTGAGTTTTTCAAAAACGAGGACGTGACTGCGAACAAAGACACTTTTTTTTTTTCCCTCTGAAAGGAAAAACCTCATTCTCAACCACAAAAGGCACGGAGCGTCATTTCATGACAGAAAACCTCAAAAATGTCTATGGAGGATTTCTAAATAACGCTCGTGAGGAGTTTTGTGCTCTACACTGCCTGTTAGTCATTTTATCTCCTCTTGATATAAACTGTAGATCATAACAATAAAGCACTTTCAGGTTAGCAGCCTAATCAGCCCTTGGTTTAATATGCTTTATAAAAATCTCAAATTTTTTATTTTCTGCTCTAAAACCAACATTAACAATGAACACAGTGTTGCTAAAACTATTACTCGTAGGACTTTATATATTTAGTAGTATTATTGTAATCTGACGTTTTAATTAACGCTTCTTTTAAGAGATAAATCTGCAGAGCCTTTTGAATTGTTTTGTTTTTAATCCACCCAAGGAATATTTCAGCCAAAGAAACGCTAAGATGAAACAGGTCTGTCGTCCTTTTTAGTTTTGGCTGCATTTGACGTGTGAATTGTATGTTTGGCTGACCAGATATACATTACCAGTCAAAAGTTTTTACACCCCTGGCTCATAGAAAGTCTTCATTTTGACTATTTTCTACTATTTTAGAATAAACTAAACCCTATGAAATAACACATATGGACCTCCTATGCAGTGAGCAAGAAAAGTTAAACAAACCTAAACTATTTTATATTTAATTCCTAACAGTATTCTTGTTAAGAATTAAAGTATACACTTTCAACTTTCTTGTTTTTCAGCTTCATGAGGAGGCTTCTCCTAAACGACCCAAATAATCTGAGCTCCTCACTGCTTATATTCTATACTTAATAAATGTAATGTTAAGCATAAACTATTTTTTATTTGAAAAATAATTTGAATGCATTAACCTCACTATTTATTTTTGTCTTAGAAACTCATTTCAATCATAACACTTTTTTTTTTTTAAATGTCTTTAAAGGTGCACTAGTATTTTTTTTTATTCTTACTAGTACAAATAAGCTGGAAAATAAATGTAGAAAATGATTTTTAAAAATAATTGTTTACACCATTGCATCAGCATAAGTGTATTATGTGGCTGAGAAAACCTGCTTGATGAACTGCAGGCCGGTGCATAATGCTCAGCTGTGTTTACTCCTGGGCCTCCTGTCAATCATTTTATAGACACACCCCCAATGCTGCTTCACTCCGCCCTCGTTGTCAGTCTGTTTGGAAAGGAAAACATGGCAGAGTCCAGAATATTCAGATACGTTTACTCTGAGAAAGAAAACATACGATGCTTTCAAAAAACGTAATGATAAACAAAATGTCGTAAAAACCAGAATATACAGTAGATTGGTACTGCTTTTCCAAGATGGAGAAAAGTTACTGGCTATGGGGGTGAAGTTTGACGTGGAAATAACAAGGTTGCTCCTGGACAGTTATGCAAACATAATCTGTATAAAATGTTGAATTGTTTGAACGACAGTTATATACCTGCATCCGCCTCTGCTACCTATATATATAAAAAAAAATATATATATATATATATATATATAGCAAGTGCAGATTTAGTTTATTTAGAGGAAAAACACACAAAACGCAAAGACCGTGAAATAAAACGAGGAGTACTGAAACAAGGTAACGACACGAATGTGACATGAATTAGGTGACAACGACAGCAAAAGACAAAAGCAAGATTTAAAATGATTTAAATACTAATTCTCATTAAACATAGACGTGAATCAGGTGCAAACAGTCATGAGTCACGTGACGTAAGTTTTGAAATCGTGTGATGTGCAGTGGCTGATGGGAGTCGTAATACTGCGCCGTATTCGACACAACCGTGAGAGTACTGCTAGCTTACTCCCGTGCAGCTAACAGAGCTAACTAGCTAACTATCCTGGGAGTCACGGTTAGCTTAAAACCTCATGAGAACTCATTACAAGGCAAAACAGTACAGTGAAAGCGTTCTGTATCAGTATGAGGTGAATGTCACGTGTTTATAGTGTTACAACTTGGCTTTCAAACTGTTAAATGGCCAAGTGGGCAACACCACAATGTCATGCTAAAATGCTCACACTGGGAGACATGGAGCTCGATGCCCACTCTGGTAAATATAACACTGCACCATGAAGAGTAGTGTAACTCGTAAATTACCAACTGTAATAAATGGACGTGGGCTGAGGGTGTTGTTGATGTTTACGGTCTAGCTAGGTTTCGGAAGACACACAAAGCCACCCTGATATAATCTAGCCTATACTTTCAGTATTTACAGTTTGTGAATTGTACAGGATTTGTAGGCATTTTTCAAGGATTTAACAAAACAATTTTTTATTTAATTGTTGTACTTCTTCTACTTAACCACTAGAGGTCCAGACCTGACTAATGCACCTTTAAGACACCTTTAATGTTGTCAAAACATCTCTCTGTCTCTCTCTCTCTCTCTCTCTCTGTCTCTCTCTCTCTCTCTCTCTCTCTCTCTTTCTCTGTGTGTGTGTGTGTGTGTATATATATATATATTTGGCTGAATTGTTCCTTTCAAACCCGGTGTACACTGACTTCTCCTCTGTTCTCTGATCATAAAGACGTAAACGACTTTCCTGTACATATTTTATGCACAGAATTAAAGTTTATTTATTGATCTCGGAGTGTCTCGTATCCATCACTGTGAGCTCATTTGCATAAACTCAGTTATCATCCAATTAACAGACAATCACTTCAGGTAAATAAAAGGTACTAGGAACTAAATGATCCATTAAAAGATCCTTTGCTTTCTAAGGACAGCAAATTTTACTATTTTTACACAAGTTCATTTGGCAACTGGGTTAACTAAATATATTGTTTAAGCTAGATTTTTTTTTTTAAACAAAACAGCTTTAAGTAGCAAAAACACAACCTTCATGACTAAGAAGTGTGTTGTTGAAGTGTCATATTGTGACAAAGGCCTTACTTTGTATCGTAGTTTATGATATTATTGTGATATTGTACTTAAAAAAACAATTTGCTTAAAAATTGTATGTCAAAAATTGCTCTATACGATTTCCCTGAGAGATACTTGCTCCTGATTGTCAGGAACACACACACACACACACACACACAATGGTGTCAGCGTAGGATTACGACACACATCCACACATCACATCAAATGTTGTTGTTTCTGTGCCAAATATATGACAGATCTATTTGTGTGTGCATGTGTGTGTGTGTGTGTGTGTGTATGTGTGTGTGTGTGTGTTCACCGTTTCACACATCACTTTCAGGCACAGAGTGTGTGACAGGTCTCACAGAACAAATCAGGGGTGTAAAGACCCCCTGCTACACTGCACATCTGCCTAGCATTACACTTCAGCGGCTTCATCTCTCTTTCTCACACACACACACACACACACACACACACACACACACACACACACACACACACACACATTATACACACACAGCACTTTCTCACATTCACACATCAATGAGGTTAACATTCAGTGTGGCTTCAGAATAGCTAACGTAGCGACATCTCTCTTCTATATATGGCTATGTTTATTGTACTTTAAACAGACTTAGTGAGAAATCCTCCCATGAGTTTTGATTAACTTATTCAAACACCATATAAGTAAAGAGTACAACACTTGGGGGCGTGCGGTTATAGGAAAATAATCACTGACGTTACAGCTACCAGCCTGAAGTTGATAACTTTCTGGTAAAAGAACGTCCCAGATTGTTTTATTTGTCTTATACGACAGCAGTTTGCCAAAGATTACAACTTTTTTATTTATTAAAGAACAACAAATCATATAATTATATTTAATGTTGTGGAATGTCTGTGAAACAAGTTAGCTCCTGTTCTCAGTTGCAGTGGCCCCAAAAACCACTTAAGCCACACTTAAAACGTATGAATTTCACTGCGCTAGAAAACGACAATCTGCCCCCACGACCTGGACTCGGATAAGCGGAAGAAAACGGATGGATGGATGGATGGAAAACAACATGTCAAACCAAGTGGAATTTATTTTAAAGAAAAGTTACCAAAAGCTCACTTTTCAAGCAAAACATTTCCCCAAAAACAGATTGTTATGTTTAGAAATATAAAAATAATGGATATACAGTTCATAATCAGACAAAAGGAAGTGCTTGGACACTATATTCTGTTAATCACAGTTAACCCGTAGGTAATGTGATGAACTGCACCATGTAGTTACTCTGCCAGGGAACCTGTATGAAAATGAAGGTAATTGACTGCATACATCCACTATAAATTATCTCGGGACCAGCTGACTGAAAGTAATTGCAGAAATTGTTCAAAGGCGGGAAGTAAGTTTTGAGAAAAGTAAGCATCATCTGTTTGCACAAAGTCAAAGTCATTTTATTTGTCATATGCACAGTATGCCAGAGACTGTACTGTACATTAAAATGCAAAGATACAACAGAAAAGAACACCCTTCCTTCTTTAAGTGAAGTGACCAGACAATGTTGCTCTTTCAGCTGCTCATGTCAGGGGGTTTTACGCCGGGTTGCCCTTCCTGACAAAACCCTCCCCAGTTTTTTATCCAGGCTTGGGACCAGCTCTGAGAGCACACTGTTGCACAAAACCCCAGGGGCTGGGGTCATTTCCCTGGCCAGGGATCAAACCTGGGCCCCAGCAGTGAGAGCACTGTGGCCTAACCGCTAGTCCTCTAGGGACCTGGAAGTAACAAGACAATAATTTCAATAAATATAAATAGAACAAATAGATTGCAATATTTACTCAAAGAGCAGCAGAGAATAAAGTGACACAGTGGCAATGTCCTATAAAAGTGATTAATGTGAATGAAAGCGGACGATGTACTGGTACAATTGTGAGTAAAATCAAGAAAAACAGGCGAGAAACTGCAGCGAGTGTCGCTTCAGACATCCGTAAGAATTACCAGATACAACTTAGTGCACAAACTATTCAAAACAGGATCAACGAGCATGGGTGCAGATGGAGAGTAATGTGGCGGAAACCATTTATCAGCCACAAGGATAAGGAAGCAAGGGTGAAATTGTGCAGAAGAACATGCACAGAAAGGCAGCAGCTTCAGGAGAACTTGCATGGATCTGATGGTCGAGTGTTTGTGTGGAACATGAAAGCCAGGAGAAGAATTCCAACCAAAATGCACTAAAGCTATTAGAAAGCACAGACGTGGCTGAGGCTGTTTTCCTACAGTAGGGCTGTGTTCACTGATGGCTTCATGAACTCAGAAGTGTACAAAAGATGAAATTATTCACGCAGCAGAAGGGAATGTAGTGCATCTATGGGATGCAATGGAGAAAAAATGATAAGATTGGCGATGCTCTAGTGTGGGTGGGTTTTGTTGGATGAACTTGGAGGAAACTTCCATCACAACTGTAGATTCCAGGCCCGTATTCTACTCCATACTGAGCGTCCAAGTACTTTGTCTAATTACGACCACTATATCTATTATTTTTATATTTTTAAGCACTCCCCTATTTTGGGGGGAAATATTTTGCTTGAAAAGTGAGCTTGTGTTAGCTTTCTTTAAAATAAATGCCACTCGGTTTGACATGTTGTTTTCATACAAGTGGTTTAAGCGTCTGAATACATTTTGGGGCCACTGTATAAACAGTCGTTCCCTCATCAAACTGCTTTTTTTCTCTGTCTTGAGATTATTAAGACAAAAAAATGTAGTTTGTCATGCTACAGAGAAACCGCAGAGCATAAACTCCTCTGTCCTGATAACTTTGCTGTGGCAGGAAAAAAAGTTACACTTTACCTCTGACATGGTGGGACTTGGTGACTTAGTGGAGCTGAACACTGGAACATATGGAACATTTGACTTTTCCTTATGTCTGAAATTTGTTTATGTTTGAAATTTATTTCCTCTTTTAATCTTTTAAAGTTGAAGCACTATGGATAAAGAGTGTGTGTGTGAAATATCATTCACTGCTGGCTTTATCTGACCTCTAGTGGTGCGTTATAAAATCCCATATATATATATATATGGCACAGACAGAAATACCAATAAACAGCAGTGAAGGTCAGAACTCTATGGATCAGAACAGAGAGAGAGTTCACTGGTACCAGGTTAGAGTAACTACTGGTGATGTGTCGTTCGCAAAGGAGTCGGTTCTTTAAGCCAACTCTTTTAGGTGAGAGCCGAGTCGTTGAGAGTGACTGGCATAAGTGACCTATTTCTCTCTCTCTCTCTCTCTCTCTCTCTCTTACATCACACTTGGACTGTAATTTAATCTAAATGCTTCCATGGAAACTTCTTTTCAAAATGAGAGCTGTTCACTGGTGTGAATACTGAGTCGTGTGTTTGACTCTCGGCTGTGTGTATATGGCATGGCATGGAGGATCTTTTACACAGTGAATCGCAAAGTCGTTTCATCTGGCTTATTAAAAATAGAGTAAGGGTTCATGAAACAATTTCAGCCATAACTTTGTCCATTTTGAAAGAAAGAAAGAAAGAAAGAAAGAAAGAAAGAAGAGAGAGCTGTTTAGGAGCGGAAAGAGTCGACTCACTGGTGAGCTGAGCTGACTGATCTGACTGAAAAGACATTCTCATTAATAATAATAATAATAATAATAATAAGAAGAAGAAGAAGAAGAAGAAGAAGAAGAAGAAGCCAGGAAACATGTTCAAGTTCATTTTGTCACATAAGTGCTGACCTGTAAAGAAGATAAACATATAACACATGCAGACTTTTGAGTGAAAATGTTAAACGTGTAATAAAATGTGTGTGTTCATATCATAGCATATATGCTCAAAGCTTCATATATTGTCCTATTTACATTTATTGACATTTATATCTATATATTCACTTTATTAGGTTTGTCTAACTTATACCAAAAATAGACACTAGAATTTTTTTGGCAACCTTCATGAAAAAAGTTCAAACATTTTACATTATTTAACAAATTTGCTGCGATAAAAAGCTATGTTTAGATGCTTTTGCATTAAATCATTGAGTGTGTTGTGTACATACATTTGGTTCTGAGCTTAAGGTCACGCGCAAATGTAACCCTCGATTGATCAGCTTCAAATCATACAATTGTTGATGAGTTACACACGAATTACACTGTTAGTTTAAATCACTTATTTATTTCAATTACGCACCAATTTTGTGAAACAGTCATTTCATATAACTAACTTGGATAATGGCATTTATTAACATACTTTTGTGAGTACGAAGAAAATCAGTATCACTGGAACACACAATTAAAAACCTAATAAATGATGTTAGACATAACAGGAAGAGACTCAGTGCTGTTAGACTCCCCAGGGCATGGGCCACAAAATATTCCTATAAAAGGGTGCCGATAATTTTGAAACCTGCACTTCATGTAAAATTGCACTACTGAAAAAAAGCTTTCTATGTTTGAGAAAGCTATGCTGTGTCTCAGTATTTTTAAGCACAAATTTTCACTCATTGCATACGCATATATTGCATACTTCATGCTCATTTTCAAGAAAGGGGCCAATATTTTTGTGGTTAACTGTAACCCAATGCACAGTGCAATAGTCATCAGAAAACTGTAAAAACTTAGCATTTGTGGGTTTAAAGTAACCAAAACATCAGCTTTCACTGACTGACTAAGCACAAAGCAATGTGATGCTTCTCCAAACCCAGCTGCAAGTGGGAGGAGGCTGACTTCACACATAAAAAACCTCCTGAACACTTAAAAACGGACAAAAATACAATTCAAGCAGCTGCAAAGAGAAAGAAAAATGTCTACCCCTTTTCAGTTCGGCGTTTTGCTTCTATTTATAGGTAAGTCTCCGGAAAAAATAATTTTTTTTACCAAACGTAATATTACATCTGTTTTAAAATGTTAAAAAAGTATTTCTAAAATGTAGTTTGAACGTTTTGAACACTAAAATATAAATATTATAAGGAATAAAAGACAACAGGGCATGATATTATAGGAAAATAATCAACGCTGGGGTGGTGTGATACGTCCTGATGCGGAGCTGATTATTTTTATTACTTTCCCAGAACAGCATGAAGTGTTTCAGCGTCGTCATTTGGCATCATTTACTGGCATCATTCATGCCATGAGGCGAAACCTTAAACCTCCTTTAACAAAATCACCGTAATGACAAATTTACTTTTGCTGTAAAGGATGTGCGGCAAAAGTATTGACACCCCGAATCATATTTGAAATCGATACAAATTGTCATACTTGAGGCAAAAAAAAAAAAAAAAACATATTTCATTGCTTAAATTTGTCAGAAAGTTCGTTGTCCTGTTTCCGTGTGGTTTAAGTTACACAGCGCTGACGCTGGAGACTCCTTTCATAAATGGTAAATGAATCGCTCCTCGCAGAAATTGTCACTCTATCAATTATTCACGTTTTAAAGTCTGTTCATGTGACACGTTCGGTCCCTGTGAAGGAGCGTTTACTGTAGAAGTGCTGGATGTACATCAGATCTTCCACAAATGTCCGGTTTTTTTTTTATACATTTCAGTGAATATCATTTTTACCTCAAATTATTTAACACGCTTTGAGTGACTGCTTTTGAACCTGTTTGCTTTTGAGACATGGTTTATTTTCTCAGTAGGAGCTGTGCAGTGTAAGGAGCAGATCTTCGGTGACAGCGGCCTCATGATTAAAACATACGAGCACGATATGCAGGTACGCAGAAAGCTCACTAATCGGCTTATTCGATTTCTACGAACAATATGTTGCTCATTTCTGTCCCATCTCTCTTACACACAGGGAGGAGTCGAGGCTCAGGTTTCCTGTCAATTGTGCAAGAAGGTCCTGCATGAAATCTTCAAATCTGTTGGAAATGAACTCTCAAAGGTCTGAATACACACATCGACTACTAATCGTACAAATATAGAATAGCAATTTAAATGTGATAGCCTTGTGATAGAAGAATATCAGCGAGAATCAAGGGGAAGGTGTACGAGACAGTGGCGAGAGCGGCCATGCTGTATGGTTTAGAGACAGTGGCACTGAGGAAGAGACAGGAGGCAGAGCTAGAGGTAGCAGAACTGAAGATGTTGAGGTTCTCTTTGGGAGTGACGAGGTTGGACAGGATTAGGAACGAGTACATCAGAGGGACAGCTCATGTTGGACGTTTGGGGGACAAAGTTAGGGAGGCCAGATTAAGATGGTTTGGACATGTTCAGAGGAGGGAGAGTGAATATACTGGTAGGAGAATGTTGGACATGGAGCTGCCAGACAGGAGGAGAAGAGGAAGGCCAAAGAGGAGGTACATGGAGGTAATAAATGAGGATATGAAGCTAGTGGGTGCAGCTGTTGAGGATGCAGAAGATAGGGATAGGTCGCGAGTGATGATTCGCTGTGGCGACCCCTGAAGGGAAAAGCCGAAAGAAGAAGAAGAAGAATTTCAATGTGATAGCCTCTCACATCAATGTTTGTAAATGTTGGTTTTTATCTCCATTTCACCGTGTCACTAACCACTAACACAATCTCTGTAGTATGAAAATGATTTTACTAAAATATTTGAATTAATGTTTATCAGAAAAACTGACCATGTTTCACACTGGATAAGCAATTTTTTAGTGTTCTCATATTTTACCAATAAATTAGAGTGTCTGATTGTACTTTTCCTTCCCCTGTAGGACAGGATCAATATTGCTCTTAACTTGGTGTGCGGGAGATTGAAACCAATCAAACCCCTTTGCATGTCATTTATTAAAAGATACAGAGATAAGCTGGTTAG